TCTATCTATCTATCTATCTATCTATCTATCTATCTATCTATCTATCTATCTATCTATCTTATCTATCTGCCTGCCTGCCTACCTACTTACCTACCTACCTATCTATACACACACACACACACACAAACAACACACCTAAGACTACCCCTCCCTGGCTTAAAGAGTAATAATAGAAAAAGTACATGTTGACACCTGGAGTGTGTCTGGGCATTTGTGTGTAGGCATCCCTGCCTTCTTTAATGGCCCTCACACCAAGGAGATGCTCCAGAAAATAACAAATGTGGAACATTAGCCATTCTAGCCACTGATGAAGTTACACAGCTCATTTACAATGTGTCATATCCTGTGATGGCATGCCCATTATTCAGTGCCATGCTAAGCTGGCAAGCTGATTATTTATGACTGTGTTTTTCTAAAGACAACAGGACTGTAGATAGCAATAAGGATATAGGGCTGCCACATCCCAGTAATGGTTTAGTTATTTTTACTTTGAAATAGAGGAATTGGGCTAGTGACTATAATGTGGTTCTAAAGAAACATTCCAGGGCCTAGTGATTTAGGTTCAGGATGTCTCAAGGCTTTGATTTGAGCAATTGTACATAGTCCTAGCATGATTTGCTTGGAAGACACTGAGGATCAGTGTGATTGTTGAGTGACTTCTTATCTTTTTTCAGTGGGACTGAACCTATGGACCCATATACCAAACTCTGCTGCAAAGGTTTTTGCATTGACATCCTAAAGAAACTAGCCAAGACTGTGAAGTTCTCCTACGATCTCTACCTGGTGACAAATGGGAAACATGGTAAAATAGTGGATGGTTTCTGGAATGGCATGATTGGTGAGGTAAGGAATTAGGTAACCTAAAAGTCTCATTGTTTGGATTTTAACCACATACACTTACACTGGTATTTGTCAGAAGTTCTCCATGTGGAGAAAATAAAAGCAGACATGCAACTTTGGTTCTCTTCTAAAGTTACACAATCCTTCTGAACTATAGCACATACCTAAAGGCTGACTTAGCTTAGATCAAAGACAATGAAAACTCTATAATTACCTCCCTGCACATACATCATTCTTGCATCCCTCAACAAGAAAGAAGACCCACCGCTCAGTAGTCCTCAACTTTGTCTGTGGGCTTCAGCCTTAAGAGATGGTAGCCTTAAGAAGATAGCTTACGAAATAGAGAGTTACTCTCTTTTCTGGGGAAATTTATGGATTGTGAAATGGAACTAGAATCTTATAGTCAGGTTGGCATTGAGCTATGCTAACCTGGGAGTGGAGACTCTTGTCTTTGGATAAACATGTGTAAAAGGCATACCTTCCATGAAACTTAAGAGTTTGTCTTCAGCCCTGCCGCTCTGCAATTAGGCCATCCTTTGAATAAGATAACAGGCTGCTTGAGTGTCAAGAGCCTTACCTCTTGGTGCTAACTGGGATATTTAGACTGACTGGCAGCATAGTTAGGATTTTTCATCTAGCTGAATGGCAGGGAACAGATTTCTCTGTGCTGCCTGAAAAGAAATAGACATTCCACTTTGGGATTCTCCTATTTTGTGTCCCAGAAGGAATTTTAAATCTTTCTGAACTGGATGTCTATTCAGAAGCATTTCAGGAACTATCTATATGAGAAAAAGGGCAGAGTTGTAAAAGAATCGAGCATTGCACTATTTCTGGCCAGAACTGTTCCTTGCTTGTGTCTCTACTGTAAGGACATCAATGGCAATCCTGACATGCAGAAAGGGAAATGGGGTTTGGAGAGTGATATATGGTGGGGAATTGTTTCTTGATGGTGCACGAACACATTTTTAAGGATTGGACTCATCCAGGTACAGAAATGTTCAGTCACGAAAACTCTTCTTAAATACATGCACACTTGATCTGAAATAATGGTAGTATCATACTATCTGTAGGGTTGCCATGCAGAGAGGTCTCTTTGAGGTACAACCTTTTTTTTAATCCCTTGAAAATAAGTCCCACAAAGCTCTGTGAGTCTTATTCCCAAACATAGACACAAAGGCTCATCCTCAACAGGGAGGCAGGACCATCCCATCTTGTCTATGCTTGGAAGGGCTGGGCCTGCTTAAAATTTGAATTGGGAGACCTCCAGAGAGTAACAGGGCTGTGGCTGCATTGGGAAGTTTTGAAAAAGAAGTTGTGGAAGAAGACAACAGGAAACCATTTGTTTATTTAACAGAATTGTATGGCTGTCATCTTGAAGCACAACTCTGGCTCAAAGACAACCAAACCATGTACCTACTGTTTCCAAGAAACTACATGGATGTATTCAGAGACTCACTAAGAGTCACAATTGAACTTCAGACCATATTTACCTTTCATCTTTTAATTTGCTAAGATTAAAATAAAAGCAAGCAGAAATTTATAAGTACAGTATAAGATCCACTTGGAGCTGGTTCTGTTGAATGACATTATTATTCATGCCTTCTCTCTCTGTTTTCAACCTCCCAGGTATATTACAAGCGAGCAGATATGGCCATCGGGTCTCTCACCATCAATGAGGAACGCTCACAAATTATTGATTTTTCTGTACCTTTTGTGGAGACGGGCATTAGTGTCATGGTAGCCAGAAGCAATGGGACTGTCTCACCCTCTGCTTTTCTAGGTAAGAGCAAACAAACATATGCCATAAATACTAAAAAAAAGTGAGATTTGTAACAGAATATAGCCATATGGAATGCTTCTTGGTTATGGAAAGTCACTTTCACTGTCCTTTTCACCTCATTTCTTGACTATTGTAATTACTTCTACATAGACAGCACTTGAAGACTTCTTGGAACCTACAGTTGGTTCAAAATGTTGCCAGTCCTGTGGTGTTGGGCTCTCTCTCCCTGTTACCCATGTGTCTCCTTGTGGCAGGAGTTTGTTGATTATCAGTTGACTTCTGGGTGCAATTCAAAGATAATTATTACCTTTAAACCTTATAGTTTGGGGCTTGAGTATCTTGTGAGGCTGCTTACTCCAATTGTTTTCTGTCTATTCAGTGAGACTTAATAGAGGGGCATGTTATGGGTATCATCCCTGAGAATATCAGTGATAGGCTGGTTTTCCCT